GTTTATCTGCCGGGGGGGGGGGGGGGGCTGAAAGCGGATTGCTTTAATCCATTCTTTACAAAGTCGCTAGAAGATATCGGGACATCCAATATTATCGATTATCTCCCGTCAATATCGATGTACTACGGCCCATTTTTTATTATATATACATATTTTTTTTTCCACGTGTATATATTCTTTTTAGAATGAAACTGAGCGAATCGGCGACGAGCAGATTAAAAGCAGCGATTCCTATCGTCGCGATTATCATCGATCCGTCCGTTTCTGAATTTTATGAATTTGGGGTGATGTGACCAGTCACACGAGCATCGTTGACGCAAGATGTTTGTTGATCAGGGTGCGATGTGGACATTGTGACATTCGGTGATAACTGTTGATAGTTAATGAATGACATTGGTTATTTCAGTCGCACGTGTCGCATAATGCACGAAATAATGACGCGGGAGCCGAGTTTACTTCCCTAATCTCTAACAACAGTAGGAGGCACGCGCTAACGGCGGGCTAGGAGAATAACGAACAGAAGTTTGTGTGCATTCGGCGACGATCGTGGAATGCATCAACTACGTCGATAATAAACGTTACCGCCTACGGGGGCTCGAATTTCTCCGAAATTCACAGGGACAATTTGCGTCGGTGCGCGCGGGAAGCAGAAAATTTGTCAGATTTCGAGTAATTAATTAAATACCGGTTTAATTAATTTTATTGTACAGTATGTTTGTAATGGACGCGCGTAAATGCCAAGGGAAGGCGGAGCTTTCCATTGCCCTAGCAACGTTTATACGACATCGAATTCCCATCGGTATTACGTTTCATTACGTACGATAAATTATGAAAAAAAGGTACTAATTAAATAACAATTTAAAATTATAACGAAATTGATTATAGGTTTATACGAGAATGTTCTAGAGAGCTTTATTAATGTTGGAACTCCCCCTTCTTCGCGACGAAAACTGCGCCGTTGAAAGGCCGCCGTTCGCCCGAACGCGACGACCTTTCTGCGAAATTCTGACTGTCGGGAAGAATAGAAGAAGGAAAAAAGATCACGGAACTGCGCGTCGATTATTCCGGGATTATCTTTCCCCGCGTACTTTGCGACTTTTCGCGATTATCATCGATCCGTCCGTTTATTGGTGCAATCTCGGGATAAATACTGACGGGACGCATCGCGACTTCATATCCGCTCGTGATCGAACTGTTTTCGGTCGGACGCATGCATCCCCCGAGCCGGAAACACGATCGACAAAAATTCGGACATCAAAATTGAAATATTTCCCGTTTTATCGGAAAACGGATAAAAACGTGTACGGCCCAACGGTGCGCTGCCGCCGCCGCCGCCGTTGCCGCCGTTGCCGCCGTTGCTGCTTTTCGTATTACGCGTTGTAAATAGCGTGCACCGTTACTGTGTTCGGGGAAACACACGCAGTTGCAGCTGCAGCTGCAGCCGCCGACGGAGGGCGAAGGAGAGAAAGCGGGAGAGGAGGAGGGGATGGGGAAAATGCGCATAGCCGAGCGAGCTATTACGAGCGGTCTTGCGGTGCCTGTAATGGACGCTGCGGATGTATGGACGTAATGGATGGAACCGTAATCCATATTTTCTAAACATTATCATCGTTATCACCTTTCCGCCTTCGCGAGCCTCGACCTCTTTCCGCTCGCGGACGCTGAATCCGTACGTTCGCGCGCAAACGATCCATCTACTTTTAATTTACTCGGTTTACAATCCCCGAGCTTAACATCCATGATAATGGACTCGCGATAATCGAATTCTCTATTTAATGTAATGCGAGCCAACGTGCCCGGCTGCGCTCGACTTTCGAGCAAAGCATCCGTGTTGCCGTACCACGTCAGTTCCGTAGAAATACAATATTTCTCCGTGGGTTTAGTTGAGAGTGCGTTGTTACATTACGCGATGCATTATCATCAAGGGCTCGCGCCAGTTACCTGGAAGGAAGAAGGACGGGGAGATTTCTCTGTTGCGCGGCGCACAATCTATGCGAATGCACGTCTGTGTAATTGGTTATCTCGAAAATCTCGAATTCGAGGCAGTATTATCGTAAAAATGATTCCCGTGGCTCGCGTAGCGGAACGTAAATGTAACGATAATGAGAAGATCCACTTGCGGAGATGCGCTGATTTTTATCGTTATCGGTGCCTCTTTAATGGGCAGGCCTCTGTAATGATTATACTCAATGTTTATTTTCGGGAAAATTTCATTACTACCCGTTAGCGCAATCTTGCAGGTTTGAAGCGATTTTTAAAGGTTTCTTTGGAAAATTCCCTCTTTATTGGAAAAAGTTAATTGTTACAACGAACAAATACGGACGGGAAAAAAATATTAAGAAGTACACAAATATATGTAACAATCAAAAACAACTCCGTTCTAAATTTGATACAAAAAATTTAAACTTAAGAAGCCATCGTGAAATATTACCAAGACCGCTGGTATTTAAATTTTATTAGTATTAAATTTTATTATTGATTATTATATTATCAAATTTTTAAAAATTAAAAAGCTAATAGACAATATTTTTTATAAAATTTTTAAAACCGTTGCAAAATTTGAGAACGTAACATGTTGTTAGTTTAATAAAACTATAATAAATTTTCTCTCGTACATTTGTCTATACGTCTGACGAGAGAATATTTTGCCAATTCAGTTTGGTTAAAGAATTTCGTTTTTCCGAATTTTTATTCGCTCGACGATTCATGCATATTGTTACATATTGTGCACCTGCGGAAAATACTGCGTCGTCGATTTAGTTTAAAAAAAAAAAAAAAAAAACAAACAAACAAAGAAAGAACAGTGTATCATAGCCTCGTCTCAGTTTAAGCCCTGCTGCGCCGTCGGCACGTGAAAAGTCTTTGTCTATGGTTGTATGTGTGCAACACGGCTTGCATACATCTATTCTCTCTGCAGCTCACTAATTACGGAACCGTTGTGTAAAGCTCGCGGCGCGTGTTTCACATTCTTTCGGGCCGCTTTCACATTGTGCGTGCCCCCTTTTAGCGTTAGAATTCCATTCATTATTACAGCAATTTTTTTCATTTCCTACGTTCTCCAAGAGATGCGCGCGCGGCAACGCGAAAATCGAGAAATTAATTCGTCAAAGAATACAACACTGCGCTCGCTGCGCTTTTGCGACCTCTCCGACATTCGCGCACTCATTAGCGAGTTTTAAAAATCAGTTTGCGCTCGCAAATTACTTCTCTTACGAGATTTTTTCTTTTTCAAATGAATTAATCGTTAAAACACGTTAAATGCTTGCAATTTTTTTTATAGACGAGAGAGAGAGGAAGACAAAGAGCAGAGGAAGAGGGAAAGTAGGAGGAAGAGGGAGAGGCGGGGGGGGAGGGGGAATTGCGTTGGTTTTTTACGAGAACAAACGCTTTAAGTTTCTATGGAGCAATTTCGGATGCAAGAGTTTTACAAAGATTGTAAAGATCAGAAATTTGTTTATGCGTTAGAAGTATACCTCGCGTGTGCCGCGAACAAAGGAAATGCGATCACGAAGCGCGGATGCTTAGAAGAAATACGTTCTCATACGAGTTTATATTCCGCGCGCGACGTTCGTCCGCGATATTGCACTCGTTCGTTCGTTCGCTTTTTTTTTCCTCGTTTTATTTTTAGTTTTGCAGATTTATCGTTAGTGGCGAAATATAAACTTCTCATTCGGTACGCCGACGTCCGCAGGTCGCGTGCAATATTGAATATTCGGAAGCTGAAAAACGCGGAATAGCCGCTTGCATTAGCACGTTTTCCCTCCTCCTCCGGCGCGTGTCCTCCACTCGCATCAGGAATTTTTCATTTCTCCTCGCGGTCACGCTTTTACGAGTTTTTTACGTATTCACTCGGTGGACGCATCCTTTCGACGTTCTCGACGGGAAATAACTCTGCGCGGAAACACTTAATTAGAATTATCGGTGCCATTGTCAAGCCCGGTTCATGAGCCGTTAATTGACGCCGAGACAATGATGAAACCTAAATTGACACTGAACAAGGAATGATTTGCGATCGATCGATTGAACAGCGATGGATTAAAAAATCATCAATTTCGGCTCTCTCTCTCTCGCGCGCGCGCGCGCGCGCGCGCATCTGGACCAGAGAGAACCGTACACAGTTGACCGTCGCAAACGATAGTTATACCGGGCCAAATATTTGCATTCGTGGCATTAATGTGATCATCGGCATTGTCGGCCAAATATATGACAATGACGGCCGGCGGTTTGACGTGAACCATGCGCGATTATTAGCCCGCGGCTCGACACCGTATACGCCTGTAAATATTGCGTGATACTGCTCCCGTTGCCGGCCGACCGACCGGCCGCTGTTCGCCAAAGAGGCTTTTGAAAATTCATGCAAGCGTTACCCCGGGCCTTTGAATATCGCCCGGTATTTATGCAGAACGCCATTCCGCGGCCGCGCCTGTTGTGTCGCAAATCAATTTTTTAGGACGGCCCGTCCGGTTATCGTAATTACGAGCTGTTTTACCGGGGATCCCGATGGCTGCTTTTACCGAGGATAATTGCCGCGTTATAAGTCTGATAATCCATGCGCCCCGTTTTGCAGCCCGTTGCCCCGAAATAAATCGCTTTGTCGTAATATCCACACCAATTATTTTGTAATTTTGTCGCTGCGAAATATCGTCGGTTTGCCGAACTCGTATAATTTCGGTCGGTCACGTCCCACCCGAGAGCTTGTGTGCAACGATACGATTATGACAATTGTAGTCTCGGACGTTAATTACGAAGCTCGATCGAGGTAATTTTTCGCAAAACGCCTGCAGTCCCGTCCACGCGAATTACGTTGTTACATTTTGTATAAACGAAATATAATTGCGATTATCAAGGTGATCGATTACAATTATCTTTATAACTGTGTTTTCGTAGATTGAATTATTTGAAGGAGGAAAATCACAGAATAAGATTATCCATGAATTATTCATAAGTCGCTCGTTTTTTTTTTTTTTTTTTAAGTCTAAGGCTTGCTTTGTGTGTTTCAGATATTCACGCGATTCGGCAAGGTTCTAAAGATCGTCACCTTCACAAAGAACAGTAAGTACCACGTTCAATATGCGTCACGTTGTGTTACGATCTAGAATCGATGTGCCGAAAGGCAGAACGAGAACGGGAGAACCGAGCCGCGAGAACTCTCAGATCCCGCTCTCGTTGGCGGACAGGTTGCACTTTAGCACTTCAGCATACTTGAAGTGCATCCTGGTTTGCCGCCGTCATCGCGCGCACTTGGCGCCGTTAGTACTTTTGGAATCGCGCCGAGTGCCCCAAAGGGGGTGTCTTCCTGAAACCCACCTCGAAACGAGATCGTTACGAGGCGAGCGCACGATGCGCGAAAGTCCGACTTTTCGGCGGTATTATGTTGCTCAAATCGCGAATTGTCAATAACGAGATAACGAAAGAAGAAAAATTGAAAGGTAGATTTTCATAAATTTATAAATTTTCAATGAATCTGTGTCTTCCGATCACTCAAAAAATTCTCCAGTCCAGTTTGAATGCTAAAGAAAGAATGCAGTTTGAATATTACAGTTAAAATGTATTCATTGTTTTCAGAAAATTATCTGTCATATGTGGAATTTGTAACAATAATATTTAACTATATATATGCATGAAAATTTAGGTCTCATAACCAAATCACACAGTCACTTTTATAAAATGGTGGCTGGCTATTATTTGACTGGACGCTGGAGAGACTGTATTATTAAATTTGACGAATTGTTTAGATATAAATTCTTTATCATTTATCTATTGATTAGGACAAAATATATGCGATATCGCAGTCAATCATTTATTCATTTCAACTAATTTTTCGTATCTACACAATTTTTCCTATGACTTTAAGATCATTTTTCTCAGTGATTGGAATCGCCAACGTAGAATTGAATTACACGTGTAATATCTTGGCGTACTTGTTAGATGAAAGATACGAAGAGAGGCGATAGTGATGCACTCATCTCCAAGATTTCAACATCTGCAGGAATTGCTGACAAATTTCGGCTGCCAAAGACTACAGAGTTTCGCGTTTCGCGTTGCGAGAAACTAACCCGAAGGTTTTTCATTAACCACGTGCGCTCCGATGATTTCACACAATTATCGATTATTTTCCCCTTTTATGTGGCGACTGTCACTCGCGAACAGCGAAGAAAATTTCAAACGGTATTTCAATTACCTTTTGAATAGCGCAAAACGGATTGCCGACGCTGTAAATAATACAAAAGCAAAATTGTCGGCGGTACGAAAGCGAATTATCCCGCTTTTACCGTATTATTCCGGCTTGCGACGAGCCTCGTCATGTCTTTCAAACGAGATATTGTAATAAAAAACTTTTCAATGAAAATTTCTGCGTTCAGTTACCGAGGCACGAGACTCTGTCTGCGAGCAAAGTAAACGTTATCATCGCGATTACCGTTACCGCCGGCCATTCGTTCGCGGGCAGATCGCGATTGTCGTGAAATGAAAAGCATAGGCGGCCGCGCCGCGCCGTGCTTCTTTTTCCGACGCACGTAACACCGAGGCGGGACGTAGCACTTTTTTTCTCTTTCTCTCTTTTTCTTGCTTCCGCAATTCAGATTCGAAAATTAAATAACATTGCCGCAGGCCGATCCTTTGTTTCGTATCATACGCGCTTGGCGCGTAATGAAATATCGTGGGGTGCGCGCGGCGCACAATCGGAGTTGTGCGAATTTGACGTACGTATGCGAGATTAAAACTCGCGAAATTGCAATTGCCGGGGCTGCCTTGCGACGTTTCGTTTAATTGAGATTTAATGGCAATTATAAACTCCGACCGTCACACGTATGCCGGACTCGCGAAAAGCGAGCGCGACTCTGAAATTCTGCGGCATTAGCTGCAACAAAACTGTCCGCTCGCCCCACGGGTTTTTAACGTTTGTCTTCTTTCGTAATTGTTTACCTCCATGTTATTCGTATCGCGACCGAGCAAAGTGGAACACGTGTAGACATTCTCGTGACATGGCCATTCATTCGCAATCGCTCGTTCGCTCGGTAACAGATGTTAAATTGAACGCCCGACAATAATTAATTGTCAATAAAATAACCGTCGGACCAGACGAGCAATTTTTTAATTGTGCAATTTTTATAGTGCCCTTTTTTACGTTTTACACCAATCAACGATCTCGCTGCATCTTTAATCTATTTTAATTAGTTACGTTTCAAAAGGAGAAACTTTTGACACGGGCACGCGCGAATATAATTTTGGTTGGAATATTTTTGATTATCTCGCTTTAACATCGTATAATTAATATCGTATTTGTGCGGCAAATTTAATCAAACGTTTCTCTTAATTCGCATAAAAGCAAAGTAAATCCGTACATACGGAATGGTTTCTGGATTCGGCAAAAATAAAAGAGGCTCTCTTCCCCCCCCCCCCCCCCTCGTCCGCCTCCTGTCAGTGAATTGCGATCATCGTGTACGCGTGCGCGTGTGTTTGGGCTTTAGCGTATTACTGTAAAGAGTTCCATTATCACGGTGGAGCAAATTCGAAAATGAAATAGCCGCCGGCTGGAACTTTGGTCAACGCTGCTAACGAAACAATTCCGGCTTTCCGGCCGCACGGGAAAAACGTATTATCATGACAGAGTTAGTTTCTCGCAACGCTCGTACACCAAATTAACAAATCGCCGCTTTTTGTATGTCCACAGCCGGTCGGTACCTCAAACACTGCGTGCATTTAACGAAAAAATGAAAAAAAAAATATCGCTCTCTGCTTATTTTTTCGAATTAAATTTTCAGGTGTCTACATATTTTACATTTAGAAAAACCGCGCTCACAATGGTACTTTCTGCTTTCATACTTTACAGAATATTTTGCAATTTCCGTGTTTCGATTTTGCGTCTTTTCTATCGTACACACTTCGAAGTTTGCGATTACGAAGAAGGCTCGCGGCCCATTTTGCCCGGAGACGCTATTTGCGTAACGCAAATCGTAGCAGAATCGCGTAGGTACGCCATTGGGGAATGAAACGAAAAGATAATTGAGCGTTACGTCTCTTTAAAGTTAAACAATTATTATTAACGATCTATTTTGCCGTTCAGTGTCGTTTCTCGTGCGCTCGCATTCGCGATGGGTTCATTGGCGCTGCCACGGCTATTCTTTTGCGATCTCGAGCCGGAGGCTTCCGCGGAGAGAGAGAGAGAGAGAGAGAGAGAGAGACTCGTAAAACTCACGGACGAACGACGTAGTCTTATGGTTTTTATCGCTTCTGTGTTCCAGGCTGCTACCAGGCACTAATACAGTACGCGGACATGTTGTCGGCGCAGACCGCTAAATTCGTAAGTATCCACTTGCTGACTTCGCTTCTACTCTAGCCGCCGCCGTCTCTGCGTCCTCCCCTTATTTCCGCCATCGGTTCGTTGTTCTCATCCTTTTTCTTGGTTCTTTCGTTCTTGTCTCGTATTTTTTTTTCTTTTTTTCCTCTTTAGTTTTTTCCTCTTACTTTCTTCTCCGTCTTCAGACAGACACCGCCACACCGGGCGGTGCTTATCCGCCGTTGTTCCCGCGGGACAGCTCGAAATTTTCCGCGGAATATCTCGCGTTGGGAAAATATTTTCCGACGAAAGCCACGGCGCGCCGCTTAATTGCCGGAAGTAAGCCCGATGAATGTAATCGAAAGATTGATGGCGGAAGAAAGAATGCGGAGGGAGGAACCGGAGGATCGCGCGGTTCACCTGATACACGATATTTTCCCCGGATTTATGGAAATATCAGCTGCTTTGCGAACCAAATTAATTCTTGAAGCAGACCACAGATGTGCGATCGATCGTGTTGTTCTCGCTCTGTTCCTCACACTTCGCGCGAATATCGATGATACGGACTCCGGTCGCGACCACATCCGTAAAAAAAAAACAGAAGAAAAAATATTATGTTTTACTTTTATAATTACCGTTTAACCCGCAGAATTTAAAGCGCCATATCCTGATGATAACTACTTTTACTTTTCTTTTTTTTTTAAGGAGGTTGAGAAAGCCGTAGCATTAAACTTGCCGCTGCTTAAGGTACTACGAGTTGTGTCTCTGCCGTAAATTTTGTTTTACCTGTAATTCCTTACGTAATCGTTTCGTTCCTGTAATCACGAATTAAAGTGCCCCACGTCCTGACGATAACTACTTCCACTTTTCTCTCTTTAAGGAAGCTAAGAGACTTGCAGCATTAAAGCTGGCACTGCTTGAAAGAAATGGAAAATGTGCGTGTAGTTTCTGTCCGAGATCTTTTCTCTCTTATGGATATATCATAACTAATTTCCGCTGTAAATCCGTTTCTATCAATTTTCTAATAACGCACGTTGTATTATATGAAGTAGAATACCCTCACTCTGAACAAATTTAGGAAACGAAGAGACGTTTTACAAAAGTTCCACTTTCTCGTGGAACAAAAGCCTCAAATTAACACTTTCAGACTTCCGGCTGTAACTGTGTACATTAATTTTTGGCTTTCTTTCTGTCAATCTAAACACCTCCCTCTGTTGGGATCTATTGTACATATTTGTGATTTATATACTCGGCTTCTTCCGGCTGTCTTATATATGAATGTTTGAGATACCCGATAACTTTTGTGAAGTGAGTGTGACGCGATCACTTCGCCGCCGTGTAAATACCGGATGTGTGCACTAATGTCTCTGTTATTCAATTTCTGTCACTCAAAGTCTCTTAATCGATGAGATTAATATTAATATTAATCGAGTTTGCAAGGACGTACCTTTGATATCGCGAAGATGTTAATTTGAAGATTTTTACAAGACGGGATAAAAGTTACATCTACGAGAGATTTGTAAATTTGTAAATTTGTAAATTTGATAGGAAAAAGACGTATAGATATGTAAGAGTTAGCGGGACGGGGCTGCGCCGCATCGTGACGCTTGGAAGTTGCATTCGGAATTAATTGTGTCGGCGCACTCGCATGGGATATGTGTTGCCACGTTGTTTTACACCGCAACGACAAGCCATTGCGATCGGAAGCTCGTCCAGAAACTTCTGTCCCCTCCTGTCCCCCGCGTTTGAATCCATCCCCCCTTGGCCTCTTCGCGTCGCACCCCCCGCGCCGTAAGCTCGATGCCGCAAACTAGTAAACCTGCGCACTGATCAAAGGGAAATTAATTCGCTTGAAATACACCGGGGGGGGGGGGGGTTCCAGGTTCCACCGCGAATCAGTCCGCTAGCGCGCAAGACAGAAAATTAATTTAGCTTTGTTGCGGATATCGCTCTTCTCTGATTTCCTCCTACTCCTCCTTCTCCTCCTCTTCCTCTTTCTCAGCCTCCTCCTCTTCGCTCATCCTGTTTCCTTCCTTCGTCTTCCCCTTTTCTTTTTTTTTTTATTTTATTTATTTATTTATTTATTTATTTTTTTTTCGAATAGTCCGTTGCATATCCAAATGTCCAAAATATACACTGTCACTATAATGTCAGTTAGCCTGGCTTTTATCATGTCAGTTTAAAATTAACATTTATCCAATTATTTTATTTAAAAATATTCAAGATATTTATTTTAATTAGAATTTGAAATAATCGCCAATAATCTTTTTGAAATTGCGTGTTTTCTAAATCAAGAAAAAAAAAGTATGTCGATTCGAATTTACCGGCGAAATTGATCCGTCTCTTTGATTATGCATTATCAGTGCTCTCTCGACCGTGAATAAATCGCCCGAGGAGCAGAGCGAGAGAGAGAGAGGAGGGAGGAGGGAGGAGGGAGAGGGGCAGACTGACCACCGTGCGCGCACGCTGGAGGCTCGCGGCGCGGGCCGAGCCGCTAATTATGTACGAAATTCATTAGCCCGTGTAAATATAGAGCGGCCGGGTGTATACACACCCCCGTGGTATCCCGGGGGGTACGCCGACTCGCGGCCTCGTCGCGCACAATGCGCATTGCTCAAACAAGGACTCACTTGCGTTTCACGTTAAGCGCACGAAACATACACACGTGACCCGTAACGTAAATTTCATACGTCTAAGAAGCGCTTAGATATTAATATTGCAGAGGATGTCGCAGGGATGCTCCCTCCCCCTCGTATCTAAAAGAAATCGGATTCTCGACTCTCGCGGGTCGTCTCGTCGCGAATCGGTATATAGATTCGATTTTTTAAATTTCCTTTTAAATTTGCATTCACCAATCAATATTCATCTCGAAGAAACCTCTCGAAACTTGTTGTTCGCTTCTACAGCTTCCGTTAACTTCTCTTCTGGCCTTGATTTGTTGCGATGTGTGCCTTACGAGATTTTTTTTTTATCTTTGTTATGAAACTAATTGAGCAATTTCGCTTCGACGATATCGCGCCACGGGGTAATTTTTTATTAAAGGTATTTATTATTTATTTAATCCAAATTTTGCACAATTTTATTTTTTATATATTTTACGAGAGTAATGCAGTAAAAAAATAACTTTAAAATTTTTTAAATTTATTAAACTGCCGAAAAATTATTAATAAAACGACTGAATTTTTAAAAAGAAAAATTACATAAAAATAAATCGATACGAGTCGCTGTTGTTAATGTATATTCTATTTGCCATCGTGTGTTCTAAGCTTAAGCGTGCTTATATTTTTGAGCAAATGACGAAGAACTTCACGATTTCTTGTGCAGTCGCTGGACGGGCAGAATGTCTACAATTCCTGCTGTACGCTGCGCATCGAATATAGCAAAATGCAGAACCTCAATGTCAAGTACAACAATGACAAATCTCGTGACTACACCAACCCGAATCTTCCAACCGGTGACGCCAATCTGGATGCTGCGTCGCTCGCTCTCGGCGGCGAATTGCTGCTCATGGGCGCCGGCTCCCAACCGCGTGCCAGAATACCCGGTGAGTATTGTAAAATCCTCCCCTCTGAATTTTTCAGTCACAATTAACCTACCATCACATTTAACCTACCGAACGAATCACCTTCGATTATTTACGGACACGCGTGCGCGAGTACGTAGAGAAAATCATACGCGCGAACACATACGAACAATGAATCGTGTTAATCTTGGACGATTCTGTACAGTAATATTCGGTAATAGTTGAATGCGGTGGCGCGCAGTTTGCAATAGACGCTTTGCAAAATTCATCGTCAATTAAATGCACGACCTAGCGAGATTCGGCCGAGATTCAATTCTGAATGGTCCATACATGAGACGCATAAACAATGAATTACTCTCGCATCGAGTCTATGTAATATTAACTTGATAATAGTTGAATATGCATGCGGTAGCTTGTGACGGGCGGGCTTTACGGGATTTATCGCCGTTAAATCGACGATCCCGGAAAATGGATACCACCTTTCTGTATTTTTTTTAACGTGCGCAAACGCTGTCGTGAGGCTGTGCGGAAAGTACAATTGAAAGGTTGATCGGTCAATTAGCGGCAGGATCGCGCGGCGTTACGTTTATCGTAATTAATTACATTAGTAGCGATACCGATTTTACGTCACTCGAACGTCGCGCTGAATTATTATTATTATTATTATTATTATTATTATCTCGCGATGGTGAAAGCAATTTGCTGGCGTTTCAAACTACGCCCTGTCCGCTGCGTGTGCCAGTTGGACGTTATTATTATTTCCTCGGGTAAATTAATTAATTAGTACAAAGTACCGACGGGCGGGCGATCCGGTTCGCCGTCTGGATTTTTGCGTTTGCACCGCGGCGACAACGCTAGTTTAAATTACACGCTCGGCCCGGCGCTTGTTTGGGTTAAATTAATTTCACGGCGTTTGTTGTTGGTGTTTAATCTGTAACGATGTAATCCACTTTGCGTCCTATCTCGTTGCGCAAACAGTCCGTTGATGGTTGAGGATTGAGGAGACACCACCGCGCGCGACAGTCGGTCAATGTCCGAAAATCGTGACGAGAAAGGCGCGTTAATTAGACACCGAGAAAGATCGGGAATTCGGGGAAAAAAAACCGGGAGATGATCGTTTGACAAGTCGCGACGTTGTAATTAGAGACCGTACCGGATTTCACACTCGAACTTTATAATTCTCTGAGATTGGATCGCGCATTTAGAATTCTCCATCTATCCTCTTTACGCCTTATGTCTTCCTTCTCTTCCCCTTTCTCCCCCCCCCTTTTTTTTATCTCGCAATCTCGGCAATGATAATAATATTGTTTGAACTTCCTGAAGTAGAGTCCATTGCAGGGGCACCGGGTGTGCTGCCCACGCCCTTTGCCATGCACGGCCTTGCCTCCCCTTTGGCTGGTCCCTACAACGGCGTGCCCCCGGCCGGCGGGCTCGCTGGTCTCGGCGGATTTCCTCTTGGCGCGGCTGGTTTAGGGGTTCGAGTACAAGGGAGTGCACAGGCATCGTCCGTGCTGTTGGTCAGCAATCTCAACGAAGAGGTAAGTATCTCGGGATCTTAAGTCCCCCTACACTCTCCGTCCTCGAAATGACGAGAGGTCGTACGAAAATCTTCGGCAATGCTGTGTACACGGAGAAAATTCGAGAAATTTTGGAAAAGTTTTCGGAAAGCTTTTTGCTTTATTTGCTCGCAATATTTTTGAAATTAAAAATCTTCCGATGGATCATTGTAACGCTAAAGGAGCTTCTCTCCATTTGGGAATTTTCTACGTGTACCGTGTTCTTTCATCAACCGCACTAAATGCAGAGGAGGTGGAAGTTTCCATTTCCACTGAGAGCGTCGTGTTCGTTTAACTCTTTGTTTCGACTTGTCGGGGGATGGCGCTATAAAAATTTATATTTTTTTACTCGCGGAGTGGCGCGAAATTATCAATAATTGCGTCTCGGCCCGGATGGATTCCTCTTCAGTCAGAAGGGAGCCAATTCTAATTAAACGAGCATAAGACAGTAAATACATGGCGTACATTCTCAAGCACAACGATACGTGCGTTTAACGAGACAAAGCGTTAAATGGCTCACGCGCACGATAACGGGGATGTTGCGCATCGTTCGAGTAAACTCGAGCAAGCACTGAGAGAAGTAAACTGCCGCCACGTACGAATAAGTGTGTCGTATGCGAATAATGTATCTGTAGTGTGGCATCTGTCGTGTCTCTATGCAGTGTGTATGCGTGTGTATGTGTGTGCACGCGCGCGTGTATGTGGTTGAAATGAACCCCCTGGGGGATTCGCCGTATCTCTGTCTGCGGGGGAACATTACCGTCTCTCGCCCGGCGCGACACACGCACACATACGCGCGAATATCGCCTCTTCTTTATCTTCTCTCTGTACCTTCTCACTTCTCCCTCTCTATTCTCTCTTCTCGTTTCCCGTCTCGGGCCCTCGCCGTCCAACCCTAAGAGACCGCACGCCATTTCTCTCAGTGTGCGACATGCGGGACCGACCAACCAACCACAGCCAGCCAACCAAGCCCTGCCATCCGGTATACACGCACGTGCATACACGTATAATTACACGGCCTATAAACGAGCGAGTTACAACGTAGTGCTACGTAGGCGAACCCCCGCAGTCTCTCGATTTCTCCGGCACGATCTTTCCACCCAGTCGAGCTTAGGCCGATCCCGTCAAGTGTAAGTTTCAAGGCGGAAAATCGACAATTGGCTCTCGCAATTAGGTCTCGCTAACGTCTCGAAGATCTCATGTCTCCTAATAATGATTAGATATAATTAAAAATACATTTGTGAATTTAATTTAAATATAATGAATGTCAAGGGACAGGGAGAATTAAATCTTTCTTGAAATCAGAGGAGAGAGAGAGCTTAATTTTTATCTGACTTGACATTTTTCTAGAGATGACCGAGAGTCTCTTGAGATTCTTTTGTCGAGTAGGTGGAAAAATCGCGCCGCGATGCGTATGTGCCCTGTTTCGTCACGAGACCTTTGATTCTACCCCTACTTGCCCCGCTCATTTTCGAAACACACATACAAATCACTCCAACGTGTCACCATCCTGCGCCCTAATTAATTCGTAACGTCGTCGACTGAACGACGTTACTTCCTGCGAGGCGACGTTCATCATGTGTAATTTACTTGCAACCTTCATACTTCGGTTTTGTGATATTCCGCACATAAAGGTAAAGCGTCTTTAATATCCATTATCCGTATTTGTACTTTACTTACTTACTTTGTATACATTTAAACGATTCCTCGTCTTTACTAAGGGCATTTGTACCCGTGCCCGCGCCATCAGCGCCATTGCATACGAACTTAGATGTAGCGTTTCGGCGCCAAAAACGGCGAACATTATCGCGTAAGAAGCATCAACGGGATGATGAATGTCGCCTCGGCAAGAAACTGTGTGTCGACGTCACACTTCGCAGCTGCAACTTGTCACTACTGTACTATAACTGTGTGTACTACTATCGTTGTGTCGCGCACAAGCCTCGTAGTCTGACGATCGTCCTCCATTTTTGCGGAGGAAGACACGCCTTTCCTTTCTATTAAACTCGTCGGAAAATCAATTATACCAAACACATCATGTGAAACCGAAAACCTAACTTTTTCTCTATCGATTTTGCAAAAAGCGTAATCGCGTATTTTTTTTTCTTTTTTCTTTTTTTTTCTCTTTTCTATAATTTCGTGAATCTTCAATTTTGATAATGCGAGTCTTGTGCGCACACCAACACTATACATTTGAATCCTATTATACTCGCTGACTACTGACTGGACTCTGTCTGTTCTCTGTGTAGATGGTCACGCCTGACGCTCTCTTTACCCTGTTTGGTACGTCTCCACATTTATATTATTAATTATATTACATTATTAATTATTATATTTACATCCTCGCGCTCTCACGTATTGTACGCAACACCACAATCCGGAACGCGAACGCGACACACACGTCTACGCGGGTACGCGATAAAACGAAAGGGAAAAAGAAAAGAAATAAAGATGCAGGCGAAGACAAACGTCCGAAGGGTAATAAATTTTACTGATCACGTGGATATTCCTCGCGATAACGAACGAACAAGACCGCGTACACGCACAAAAAAAAACGAATATGCCAAAGTAGAATCTTTCTCACACGAGATTGTCACAGAAAAGATCTCTTCCTTCTTCCTCGGTTTTTGTTTTTATTTTGTTTCATTTTTGTTTTATTTTTGTGTTATTTTTTTTTTTTATTCTCTCTTCTTTTTTCTCTTTTCGGCAACTCACAAAACTCGAGCATCGTCATTCTTTCCCTCTTGTCATATTTTACTCTCGCGGAACATCCGCCATATAACATATTCTAATTAACGTTTAATCCGTACTCTTTCGATATTTTCGTGATTTCAACTTATTTTATTACTACAAGCTACTCCATATTCGCAATTCATTGATCACCGTCATGCCGTCATCACCATCGTCATACCGCCATTCGGCCACCACCGAACATGTTCTCTCACATTCTCTATTTCCAAGCATCTCTTATACAAATTATTTTATTAATATTTTATTAATATCAGTTCCACACAACCTTAATATTACATAAGCTTTCGCTTATTTTACGTAATTCCATAGGAACTCACTATTAACGAGACGTGGCGACTCGGCTGCGGTATCATTTTTTTTTCTGCTAGCGATTGTTATGCAGATTTTCCTGGATAATTACAGACGAACATACAAAAGTCACGTACTGTGTTACAGAGCGCGTTTAAAAATGATTAAAAATTTCTGTCCGTTCCGTAGACATCCATTTTTCGACTTTACGCTAGTGAAAATTTCATCCGCTTAACTACATAGCTACATAATATCGAAAAATGTAGAATTTTTTAAATAAACTAAGCTTCATGGAAATGCAAGTAATGAATTGTTGTTGTTTCTTTAATTTTTAATGTATTTTACTTTAACGAAAATATTTGATATTAACAATTCGACGTTTATTAATTTACGATTTCTAAAATTTTTGATTTTCTATAAAATTATTATAAAAGTGAAATATTATCTTTTAAAAATTTGATATATTTTGCACTACAAAATATACCGAGTATTAATAAGAAAGCAATTAATATTAACAGATTAAAATTATTTTGTCAACTGAAAAAAATCTGGACAACTTTATATCGTGTGAAAATAAAGTTTTAAAGCCGAATCGCTCGCCTCTTGCATGTCCCGATTTCTTAGATCCGATCGTATCCCGATCTCGATCGATCAAAATATTATCCCGTTTATCTTCGATAGTCCTCAAAGCAGCCTCTCTAAAAAAAAAAAAAAATACGCGGTTTGCCGTTTCCATCCGAGTTTACTAAAGAAATATTTGCGTATTGTGCATATAGGCGTTTACGGGGATGTACAGCGTGTGAAGATCCTCTACAACAAGAAAGATTCAGCACTAATACAGATGGCAGAACCTCATCAGGCACTTTTAGGTGAGAGAGCGATTGGAAATTTTTCTTGGAAGTACAGGAATGACTTGGAGTGACTCTCATTTTGTCTCGTATGAATAATTCTTTCGTCAGATTCGTCTCGAAAAATTATTTCTACAAACGGGACAGTGAAATTTTTTTAATATGAAAAATTAGAAGATATTTATATTACGCCGTAATTATATGATATAATCGTATATGTTGTAATCGTGACATAGCTATATTACATATGAATGTATCAATAATTAATATTGTTCGTTAACATTGTTTGTTTAATCTGTATAACAGCGCTTACCCATATGGACAAGTTACGGGTGTTTGGAAAGCAAATTAAAGTAATGCTCAGCAAACACCAAACGGTCCAATTGCCAAAAGAAGGTCAGCCAGACGCGGGCCTCACGAAAGATTACACAAACAGCACTCTTCACCGATTCAAGAAGCCCGGCTCGAAAAATTATCAGAATATTTATCCGCCAAGTGCGACCTTGCATTTATCGAACATTCCGTAAGTAATCTAGTAACGATACTTATTACACGGAACGATATTCTCCTAGCGATTTCGTGACATTTAATTTGCTCTTTCAGAGCTACGGTAGCGGAGGAAGAGATCAAGGATGCTTTCACCAAGAATGGTTTCACCGTGAAAGCTTTCAAGTTCTTCCCGAAGGACAGAAAGATGGCTCTCATACAAATGCCTAACATGGATGATGCCGTGGCTGCGCTGATTGTAAGTCATCATTATTATCATCGTCATCATCAATGAGCCCAAGTCGAGTCTTTGTTTCTTGATGAAAAGATGTCCTATATGAACTTTGGCTTCCTCTTACTTTGTTACAATTGTAATTTTTGTAAAAAAAGATTGTAAGCCTCTGGCTTAATCTTTTATTCTGAAGAATCAAATTTATTTTAAAACTTATTTTAAAGTTATTATTTAGGGAAGTTTTCTATTCTCTAGGAAACGGTAATATCGCAATTTATTTAATTTCAATTTTAAATTTTATATTTTGTTTTTATTATAGTAAAATATTTTTTCACTCTTAAAATATTCCTAATGCAGAGTGACAATTTCGAAAATTAAAAATTCACATCTTTCGTACGACAAAAAGCAACTACTTTAATTAATTAATATTTCGTTGAGCATAAACACCTGATTATTAACTCTTGTAAACACGATAATCCAAAATTCTCGCAAAATAAAATTTCTCGTATCAAATTTATAAAAACAATGTTGATTCTTTCACGAAAATACTTTTAAAGAAAATGAAGAGAAAAATTTGATTTAGATTTAAATCTGACGATTATATCTTTGCATGTAAATTCCAGTTTATTGACTGTTATGTATGTGGGGAAAGGCTCTTGGATTGCGCATCCACGAAACTCAATGAGACATTTCCCTTTCGTCACAACACTTTATTTATTTGACAAAATACTATTTGAGGGACTCTTGTCCTGTGTCGCGTGCCGTGGTCGGGGGCAGAGCGCGATAGCTGAAATCGCGAGCGTACTCGAAAGCTCCAGCATGCGCGCGCAATCATATGCGTAACATATATATATATATAACATTGATTATTATAAATATGACATTGAGTCGATTTGTTCTTCTTTTTATAGAAAATGCACAACTATCAACTTAGCGAGTCCAACCACCTCAGAGTATCGTTCTCCAAGAGCAACATCTAACAAGAATCGCCACCGCACGAGCAGCAGTGGTACCAGCCGTACGCCCTAGTCCCTCTTTGGTCACCCGCTTCGGTCTACGACTGATGGTTCCTTAGTTGGATCCGCTCAGGTGCTCGTCCGTTTCTGCAAGAGTCGCGACACTGTTGTTGGCCGGTCGCACTGCATGCGTGACAGTACAGAACTACGTCGCGCACTCGGACTTTGAAGCAGCACAAGTGGACAAGAGCTACCTCGTCTGAGCGAGCTTAGGATGCTTTCGAGGTCTTGCTCTTGTTGTTGGGACGTATATTTAGCAGGCTGTATCTATTCCCGCGTCTGATTGATTTTGTCGATTGGAGGGGCGCTAGGGTGTTTCGCGATGTACCAGGGTTGCAAGCGCTCAAGTTGAAACGATGAAGAGGCAAATTTCGCGACGGCCTTCTTGAAGGTAGTTTCCGGTGCTGGCTTTCGGACGCGGTAACGCGACAATTTCATAATTTTAGAAATATGCGGATTTAGGTATAGACGAGAATCATGGAGAAAGATAAAAGTGAAAAAGCGACAAACCGATTATCTTCATGAAAGCCAGGACCGTCGCGGAAAGAGAGAAAGAGAGAGAGAGAGAGAGAGAGAGAGAGAGAGAGAGAGAGAGAGAGAGAGAGAGAGAGAGAGAGAGAGAGCCTGGTAGCCAGGCTTATATAGAGAAACGATTTGCAAGAAAGGAAATCGAGAGATTAGGGATTAGACAGAAGCGACGTAGATAATAGTGGTATTTACAGAGTTAACGCTAGGGAGGATAAGATATACTATTATACATGTAAAATTCATGATTCGGCGTGATCTGGACCGCTGCAGTGATTATGGTTAAGGTTTTTTCAAAGTTACGTGGACACAAGGACGACCATCTCGCGGCAATAAGCGCGCGCGACGGCGTCTGTATATCATTTTGGGAATTGGTCTCCGTCATCGTGCGGATCTGGAGAAAAGATAGAGGGTAAATGACACGAGCGCAAAGTAATCGAACACACGTCGTACGATCGCGCACGACGCAGCGGCCAGCAGCCGTGAATCAGTAATCATGAGCCCGCGATTATGAATCAGCAACCATAAACCACGAGACAATCTTCATTCTTCTGACGACCAAATGAACGCACGACCGAGCGTACTTGTTCGTGGGCTTCTGTTCCGTTCGAAGACGAGACAATACGATCGACGATGCTGACCGATCGAGTACGACGGGAACGGCGTGTTTAATTGACCGAGTATCTAAGTAAGAAAAACGGCCAATGTCACGGGACCTTTTGCATGCTTTCACGAGGTACTACTATTCCGCCGACGAACCGATCGCCCTCATTGATTTTATTTTATTACGATATATTTACGGTATTGTCAATAATTGAAATTGGAGAGGATAATTGAAAACAGTTGAAAGGTCGGTTTTTAAAATTCAAACCTGTATATTACTTATTGCGATTGGTTGATTTGTTCGTAAGGCGGAAGCGAAGCAATTATCAAAGTCGTTCGTTGCGTGCTGAGAGTTATTCTAATTAGGGGGAGTACGCCACTTTGAACGTATCCAGCCCGCTCGACCTTACGTTTATGCTTTTTCGGAGGTGTATTTCTCGCTCCCGAAGATACCTGCAGTATTCTCGACTATTCGACGAAGTCGAACGCTTCTTAGGAAGGGTCGAACGGAGCCCGATCGCTCGATGGCCGAGGCGAGTCCTCCTCTCCGAGACCCACGCGGCGCGTTTGCGCGCGTCGTCGTACGGTCGTCGCAGATGGCATTTTTATAATTTGTACGTTTTAGTTTGGAGATAAGTATTATATTGCACCCGCACACGTATCGGCGTCTTTATTAGACCGTACAATTATGCAGTTATACGTACACGGACACAAGCAACACATACACAGTCATGCACGCGCCACGCGTCAAGATAAATGTTCCGATCACCCTCTGATTTTTACACACACACACACACACACACACACACACACACACACACACACACACACACACACATATATACATGTATACACGGACGCATAGATACAATTGAATGCGCGCAGATTTCGTAGTTAGAATAGATGCTTAGGCATGTGTTAGGATTTTAATCGTATAGTAAGCGACTAGATAAGTAAGTTGACTAGGAGAGGAAGGAGTGAACCGTTGAACATATCGCTAATTAAAAAGTTTACACGTTCGGGACGCGCGCGGAAAGTTTGTATTCCATTCGTGATGAATTGGCCAATGCCATTTGGGACATCTCGAGGATGATTCGCATTGATGGACAATATTCGTGTGAAAAGGGCAGAGAATTACCGAGGATAAATCTATTGCTACGTGCCTCGGTCTATCCCATTGAAAGTTCCTGATATCAAAGCATTCCTTCAGTAGTTGGCGGTTGTGAGAATGCCCTATAAAGACGAGCAAGTGTTTTGAGAACAGATTGAACATAAAATAACACGAAAGAAAATTATTATTTAAGAAGATAAGTCATTTTGTGATGATTAAACAAATTTATTTACATCATTAAGTTTGGATTGAGTTAAGCATCGAAGATACATAACTACACATATATAGATATATAAGAAAAACAAAATAATCGTTATTATCGTATTTATGGGGATTTAGCAGAAACATGCAAGATATAGAAATCAGTCGATGCCGATTCCCGAGATGTCCGAGGTATTCGCCGTAAAAAGCGCGGAGTTTTAATTAAGCTCTGATCAGACGATGATGATAATCGATCTCATTTCTAGGATGGAAATCCTCAAATCCTTAAGCAATGGGATGTGCCGCGTGCGTACCGGCGTAACCCACGGGTTTCTGTCTAATCGATGTTCTGTTGAAGTCAATTAAATTTTACTGATATAACATAACTGATCGTAGAAAGAAGTAGGGAGTGGGAAAGCACGTGTTGGAAGAACATTGTTATGTGAAGGTGTAACTGAGCGAGCGAGAGGGAGAGAGAGAAAGGAAGAGAGTAATTGCGCAAGTGCGAAAGAAAGAGTTGTATACAGGCGAATGCAGTGTCGCGCTACTTAGACGGATAGATTATTTAGAGGGGTGGAAGGAGAAGTTTCTAAGCCGAAAAAACCATGCAGTGATCGTACAAGGCGGTGAAGTGACGAAACTGTGTGAAAACAAAGCGAATGCCGGCTCGGGTATAATGTGCTGTTTGTGCCAAAGTAGGGTAGCCGTTAAAAATCCTAGAATGGGATTTCTTGATGAACAGGGCGAATGGAATATCCTTGTTTGATCGCGCGAGCGCCGATTCCTGGGTTCCCCTCGCGTGTGTACGTCTCCAGGATCCCTCGATCGGCGATCTCACCTTTGATCGAGTACCGACCAATCAGCTAATTGTTTAGAGACGTAACGAGTAGCCGGCATGAGCGAAGGGGCCAGTCTTTGCATCTATGATCTGTGTCTTTCGGACCTCTGATACTACGATTATTTACTTCGACTGCATCTACACATTCTTAACCGGACACACGTTTCTGAGCACCCGGACTGTAACGTCTGCTATACGAGAGGCATTCACTTATACACAAACACACGTGCACATATATATATACACACACACACACACACACATACAAACACACGTACACCCTCTTTTAGTAGTGATACACGAAACTCTGCAATCACTTACAGACATACACAGCGCAATACAATTTTTACTTTGCCGAACAAGGTAGATTTTTTTCTCGTTTTAAATGGCTCGCTTAGTCCGTTATATATTGATCTAGAAATTCAAGAGGCGTTTCTCGATCTTATATGGATTATATTATGGATTATATCTTATTTTATCTATTTCATTCGTATTGTTTCTCGTGTGATTCCTTTTAGAGCGTCTCGTGTCCGTATCAGCCCGCGCGCTGACGCTTACGCGTTTGTATCTCCTCGATTTTTATCGCATATCGCGAAACGTGATAGCGTGAGAGAGAGTGCCACAAGGAGGGGTAAAGGGGGGAGAGATCGTGCGGGAGCTTCCGTACAGTTCTTACTTCCGGCACGAATATCGTCTAAGCGTACCTGAACAGCTCGTACAGAGAGTGTTACTCGATTTCCCGAGCTATATATATACATTTCGATATATATACGTGTATCCTTTTCGCGAATCGCAACGTCGAGCACCCGCCATTTACGCCAGGCTGTTAATTACATTTTGTCGCTTGCCGACCGTTTCTTAGCACATTCCTGTCGACGCGTACGTTACGCGTTCATACACAACCATCCACACGAAACACACAAAACACGTGATAGAAACCACGCAAGCGCACGCATCCAGTATTTTGTTCAATTTTTCTTTCTCCAATTTATTTTCTGAAATCCTGTTTTTGAAATCCTTTATCGCAAAGCGACACAAACCCAAACCATTGTTTTCTTCTTATTTTTTTTTTTTTTCCTACCACACTAATGGTGACAATCAGCTCTTCTGCTTGCAAGAGAAAGAATCAACAAAATTCCTCTCGAGCATTATTGCCAAAGTAACTCGTTTCGCGAGCGGCGCGAGCGACATCTTTTCCATGAGAAACTATTATTAGTAGAAACGTTATACCGGAAACGGGGCAGCTATATGGAACTATAGGTATCTACAGGGTGCCCGACGTTAAATCGCACAATTGTTCGGTTTCTTCTGTCGCGTACGACACACATTAGATCGGCCTTCCTCCTTTGCGCGCGCA